GATTACCATTTAGGCCTTTAAGACATTGCGAACGTTCGGCCGGCAAGGACGAGCAATAGGCGGGAGGAGAGAACGTAGTATTCAAAAAAAAAACAGGAGAAGCTTCGTCCAAACGGATGAAAAGGACCCTCCCAACTCTCCGCACCACCTCTTAATTGGTTCCTTTCTGCTCATTAGCTGAGCTGGAATTCTGGTGATATATCATTCGTAAATAAAATGGACGTGGGCGATTTGGCAGGCCGCGGCGGGGGACAGTTTGGACGCAATTTATGGACAATTGTAGATGTGGCCTTTTTTTGGGAAATGAATGAATCCATATAGAAAAATCCAGCCGGGAACAAATAAGCATTTAGGGCCTTAAATAGTCTATATAGAAGGTAATAATTTATTTTTAATAGTAATTGAGAAAAAAAATCCAAATAAAGAAGGAATTGGCTAATTTTAATATACACACTAATTATATTATTATTAAAAAATAATTACTTTGTAAGTAAATTCTAATTAATATTCAAATTATTTAAAAAATATGGGACTCCTTCAATTCAGGAAAAGAGCAAATTATTCACTTACCTGTTCTTACATGCTACTTAGGCTCTCAATTCTCTTATCTATGGTCCCACCTCAATTTTCATTAATTTCAGACAGCTTCAATTTATCAATTACTGGCTTTGGCCTTCCATGAATGAGTTAAATAATTGGAAGAATGTTTGTGTAAATAAGAAGAGAGACTTTGGAAGAGAAGACTTAAGGGTGGAAAGTGGCTTCTTATATTGTTTTTTTTTTTTAAATAAAATTAACAATATCTTTTAGTATTTTCATTCAAAAAATTTCACAAATCACATATCACTACAAACCTAGGGAAACATGAGCGCCTATGAAAGAACAAACAGGCAATTCATATTATTATAACTTAGGACTCTGAGGCTACTGTCAGGAAGCTCTATTCACATCCATTGTGTTTATAGCTAGTGACCTACCAATTATCGTATGTCTCAATAGACATGATTATGTAAAATAGTTCTATATTAAATTTAGTACGGTAGCAATATCTATCCACAGCTTGAAGCTTAACGATTTGTAAAGCGGGACATACTATATGACACTTACATGTAAGATTCTTCCCAACCACTACGAATTGTAGAGATTTGTTACACTAGAACCATTGATCACAAAAAATGAAACGTTTATCTAACATTAAGAACATGTTTAGTTACTACACAAAAATTTGGAATTTATGAAGGTGCAACTAACAACGATGTAGCTTTAGGCCATGAAATCTAATTGGGAGATCCACCTAGCAAGGGCTCCAGTCCAAGGCTCGAGTATTAAAGACCCTACTTTAGCCAAATAGATTATGACGGAGCTAGGTTGGAGCGAGAATCAAAAGTTACTTCTCATCTGTCCGGAGAGGGATCGCAAAATAACATCACACAGATCCACGCCACATAAGGCTGACTTCATCACCTATGGTATGGTTCAGATAAGATAAAAGAAGTTTTAAAACAAGTTAGTCATAACTTGCAGGAGAGGATCTTATTCATTCACAATAACAGGCAATTCATCTTCTGTATTCGTACCTACACTGGCGCAATATTTCGAGCTCAAGCAAATCATAAATACATTAACTTATATCCGATATAAAGTCAAAGACAACCCTCCCATTCATATCCGCGAAGATTAGTGACGATACTCTCCACCTATGCTGCGCTTACGTACCTGTGATTCTATCAAAGTAACTCTGCGTATTGCTGCTCCTGACGGTTCGGTCGAGGTAAGCAGAACCCAACTTCTTGTGGCTCAAGATCAAAGGGAAACACATTTAGTGAGTTCCATGAGCAAGTCAATTATGTAAGGGCTGCAACCAAGTTCCTTTGTGCCTTTTAATATGTAGGGGCTTCATCTTATATACATCATTTTTGGGCAAAAACTCATGTTCTTTGATGTCATGGTTTATATTAATCATTGCCAAGGCAAAAAATGAAATTTAGAATGTAAAAAATCAATAAGTGCTATAAAAATTTACTTGATATAAATAACATTTGGCCCAAACATCCCATTGGTTTGATTAACTTATTTAAATACAGATCTGTTGTTCGGCACATTATCCTGCCTCTCCTTTTGTAGTTGTTAGTAATTATGCTTACTTACATCCACATAGCATAAAACTTTAATCCCCATGATTCCAACTTTACTAAGGGCCACATTTGGAAATATTGGGATGGATAATAAATTGGGTAATATGGTTTTTGTAAAACATTCCTATAAAAATTCCCATAACATTACATGTGGCCCTAATTTTTGAATTAAAATCAAAAATTAAGTATATTATCTTTCCCTTTCAGATTTTATTTCCTCTTCCGTTACGATGAACTATATACACCTAATATATATTTCTCGAGCTCTGTGATAATGTCCAAATAACTCGCTGGATTTCTCGATTTGTAGTAAATTCTTTAGTCCTGAAGCTACTGAAAAAAAAGCCTTCAGCAACCTGATACGGCATTTAATAAACTGACATATTCGCCGTCATGCGATCGTGAGCCAACCAACATCTGTGTGAGCTATTTATTAAAATAAAAATCACCTCTCTCTTGGCCCAAATATTGACGTATCCCCTAAAAAAATACTAAGTTTGAAATCTTCAAATACTTCATTGTAATGCCGTATATGATGGTGATCGGCACCGCAAATTTTTGATTCAAATGCATACCTACCAATAACTGCGTACCATATCACCTGCGTGAGTTCATAGTCCTGAGCGCTCTTTCGTTTTCTACGAGGAGTTCAAAAATAATATTTTCACATAGAGTTCGCTTAGTTCCAATGTATAGCCTCCGCCGCAAGTTGAATGGAATTTACTGTGTTAAGAGAGAGAAACGACTTCCAGAGAAACGATCTTCATAACGTACTACATTTTTTTCACTTTGCATTGATTTGGTACATGCCAAAAAAATGTAATTTGAAAGAATTACCGTTAGAACCCAAGCATTTACACGGTTTGTACTCAGCAGCTAGGAGCAATTGTAGGGGTTGTTCTCTAAAACCTCACACAGAGATACAAACATAACAATGATATGATCAAACCAGGGAACATACGCGTATCCATACCTACAAGATGCTAATAGGGACGTATGATAGGTTCCGAGTGTCCAAAGAGGGTATGCCTCAACAAATCTAAAATTAATTAAGCAAATGGAACATCAACTTAAGGGCGAAAATTCTATAAGAATGAGTGAGACCTGCAATTGCTCTATGGCCGAAATGTATGTGGACCATTAAAAGAGAAGCATAAATACTGTATATACCCAAAAATTTACAGGTAATAAAAATTTTAAAACTCAAATTTCTTATTAAAGTTAAATAAGCTTAATTAATCTTTAAATAAAATAATAACTTTTTAATAATTAAATATATTTAACAGTCAATTACAAGTTAAGCTTAGAATTTAGTTAAACTTGTGATTTAATTACTGTTAAAGTACTACTATATAAAGCGTGAATTTAGATATCTTAATAAGTAAACTATTAAGGTCTTCGATTTGATTAGGCTTATTTCTCCAGTTTTTAATTTCAAGAAGCCGAAATTAGTTATTTTTTATAAAATATTGGAAGAACAACTTTTATATATCCTTTTCACGTAACTTCCATTTATTTGTCAGTTATAAAAAGTTATTTTGATTCGCTATAATTCCGTTTCAAACTCAATTTCATACAAAATAAGCACTTTAAAAAAATGTTACTCAAAAACAAAATTTCATAATCAAAACTCTATTTTAAAGTAAAACCCTTAATTTCACAATCTGCTTCTAAACTACATTTTAAATAATCAAACAACCCAAACCAAACAAAGCCTAAATGAAAAACTGATTATTCAATTAACCTGAAGGAGATGTTCCAATTGGACGCTGAAGAAACTAATAGGCAGTTGTGGGCCTCATATTCCATTTATTTCCCATTTCTTCTTCAGGCAAACAAGGCTGATAGACGGATAAGTATGGAGTCTGTAACAGTGTGAAGAAATCCTCTTATTATTATTTGGTTTGATTTTCACAGCCAACAGTTAAAATATCAAGAATTCTCTGTTTGAATAGAATTCCCGCAAGCCTTTTTCTCTGTTTGAAATTCAGAAACCTGTGAAGTCCAACAGCAAATTCTGGTAGGAAGAATTCAGCTCAGTTGCAAACGTGGAAATTCTGCTTGTTTCCGCGACACAGTGCCATACAATGCACTATTATGGAATTTCAGCAAGGATTCCTATAGAGAAGTTTGCTGCCGTGACGGAGGAAGTTCAAGCATAGTGCAGTTAAGGATTTGGCAATGCAGTTTGAGATAAGTGTGCAAGCAAAATTAAGGAATCAAGAAGAAAGATTTAGAGAGAGGTTTTAAATAGAGGATTCCTTGGATCTATCGCAAAGAGGAAAGCCTTCGTAAGTTACTTATAATCGCCCCCCCCCCCCCCCCCCCCCCTTAGGAGAAGCGTAGTTTGGGAATTGAGAGTAATGTGGGTTGTGTACAAATACTTAAGTAAGTGTTGCCAGAGATTGAAGGATGCTCAGTAGATGAGTGGCTTTTACCCTTAGAGATAGGATTACGAAAATGAGCATTATACGTGTGAAAAGGTTGGAGTAGCGCCAGTGGAAGATAAGATTAGAGAGAGTCTCCTTAGATGGTTTGGTCACATAAAACAGCGGCCTTCCGATGACCCAGTTAGGAAAGTAGAGGTATTAGATTTGACTTATGTTAAGAAAGGTTGAGGTTGACCTAAAAAGACTTGGTTAGAAAATATTATAAATGAGCTTTATTTATTAGATTTAAACAAGAATTTGACTTTTAATAGGACAATGGAGAAAAAGGATTCATGTAGCCGACTCCACATAGTAGGGCAAAGACTTGATGTTGTTGTTCTTGTTTTTTATCATAACTTTAAATGCAAAGAGGAAGACAAGCATGCTTACTCAACAGACAAGCTGAAGAAAATACCTCTAACGTCATGTTACATGTTTTAAGTTTAGATTCTCACGTCTCTTCTGATATAAATAAACGTAAAAATATTGTATAAGACTGTTAGCGTCCGTAAGGGTAAAAAATGAGCACATCACTCAATCCAAAAGCTGCTTACCAGTCACTACTGCACTATGACGACCTCCACATGCAATAGCCTTCACACAGCTTCCAATAACCTTGTAAGCATGCCCTTCCGAACTTGTATTTCCTTTACTGGAAGCTGATGCTCTATCTTTAACATAAGAAGCTGATTCAATGCATGGTACAAGATGGGGGGAAGAAACCATGCGTGTTCGAGAACCCAAACCCAGTTGGCCTTCACCGCCATATCCCCAACCCCACACCTGACCAACATCTGAAGCCTTGAAAAAACAAATCCATTACCATATTTTGCTTACTATATGAGTCGACTCCATCTAACCCCTCAAAAAACATGAAACACAATAAAGGGATGATGAAATAAACCATCGATAAAAAAAGTAGAATCACCTGACAATGCAAGTGTATGTCGACCACCAGCAGATACTGCTGTAATCTTCACTCCCACGCCAAGTGTTACAAGACAGGGAAGTGCTGAAAGAGTTTCATCACTTGGTGATGAGCTCTCAGGACCTTGTTTAGCTGAAGATAACCTTCTGCGTTTTGCAGTATCCTCACTGCCTTTGCCATCATAATTAACTATTGTTCCACTAATTGATCTGGAGCCGTGTAATGTGGAGCTCACTGTAAATGAGTTAATCCACATTAACATATTCGTACAATCCCTCTTTGTTTTATAAATTGTAAGAAGATAATTGTTAACACCACCTTGCTCATTCGGAAAAGCGCTTTGTCTTTCATCCTTCTCTAAACTTCCTATAGCAGGTTGTTCTCCAATCACCTTCCCAGTTGGAACGCACTCTTTCCAGCCCCATGTGTACACCTCCCCACATGCTTATGCATAAGAACTTTGATAAATTAAATCTTTTCCAGGTTATATTTAAAAGCATTTATACAAAATCTAAACAAAATTGTTACCACACCTCCTTACATGATCCTATTCTAATAATAGGTAAAATCTGAGCACTCCAATTAAATATTGAATCTTGAATTTACAGTAAGTAGAAAAAAAAAAACCTGTAATTGCAACACAGTGAGCCCATCCTGCAGCTGCTTTCACTATCTCTGCTTCAGCAGGAAGAGGAAATGCCTCTGGAATTTCCTGTATAAAGTTCCAACGCTAGAATTCAAAGGGTACAGCATTAAAATAAGTGCAGCAGTAAGCATAATCATTTGGTCCCAATAATTAGTACCTCGTGCTTTCCAGACGTAAGGTAACTCTGGCCCATATCATCCGTAGATCCCCATGTGATGAGCTTGCCCGATTCTGATAACCTCAAACAAAAAAATAGCAATTATGAGACCTTTTTATTTCGTGGAACATTGATGAGTTACCTCTAAGAGATTAAAAACAAAGAACTTTGTGTTAGATCTAAATTTGTCCGTAGATAATATCAAAATCTTACTACAAAATTGGCTAAAAAATAAAAAATATAGAGAAAGAAGCCATGAAATTTCACTGTATCTTAAGAAAAAAAAGTACAATCTTGAGGAAGTGATTCGGATGTGTCATGGGCTTGCCCGCTGATCTCCTATTTATAGGTGTGGGTCGAGGCCCAAATCTATAAAGATATATTACATTTAAGTAA